GTAACTCACTTGTAATCAACAGAGTGTGATGGAAATGATGGAAATGTGAATTCTGAGACCAGGTCGGAATAAATGCTTGCCCTTCAGCCTTGTTTCTGAAGTCTGAGCGCAGGTGGCAGAGAGGCCACGTGTAGGTGCTGTGGTCAGTATCTCCAGCGGAGGGCTCAGCAGACAGCCCACATCAGACGCCAGAGTGGGGAGTGAAGGTGTCTCCACGTGAGTCCAGCCTCTAGCAGTTGGGCCTTCCAGCCCTGGAGGCTTCCCAACGGAGGCCCCAGAGGTTGTGCAACAGAGACCGGCCTTTTCTGCTGGCCTCATCTGGATCTCTGACCCACAGAATCTGGGAGCAAATTAAGATGTTTGTTTTAAACCTTTACATTATGGGGTAACCTGTTCTAAAGCAATAATAATCAGTAAAACACACTCCTCAGCTGAGCCTCCCGCCCCTCTCTGTTCAATTAGAAGCTCGGAGGGCGGTAACTGAGAACTCATGGTCCCCGCGGGCCCACCGGCTCCCAAGAAGGAAAGAAAACGGAGGAGCCGAGTCAAGGGTTCCCTTTTATTCTTCCCCTAATTACCAGTGAGATTTCTCATTGCCCCAAGACCTGGACCTTTACATGGATGAAGCTTCCTCATCAAAGAAACATCAGGAGAAGGGACAAGTGTTCGCCTCTTTCGAGAGGGTATTTTAAAGAGTTTATTCTACATCTTTCCTCCCCCTCGAACTATTTCAGCTTACTCTTTTATTTCCTTTCATTTTCTTTTATTGTCATAATATAAATTATAGTAAAGTTAAAGGAATAAGTTATAATAAATTTAGGTTATATAATTTAAAAGTTATAAAACTTAGTTATAATAAAAGAATAAAAATCCTTTTATTTGTTTTCTCTCATTTTAGGGTTTCTCTTCAAATGTCTCATGTTCCTTGGCTATCTCTTCCCACATGTGTGCGGAATTACAACTCTGGAAGCTGTGAGTATGCGGGCCTCATACAGGGAAATCGGTACGTGAAAGGGCTCTGTTGTTGGGTTTACCCTCACCTGTTAGTTAGAGCAAGAAGGGCTTTTCTCTGGAGGGGTTTCATTCTGCAGAAAAGGACTGTCCCGTTTCCTGCTTCAGTAGTCTGAGCTGCTCGCAAATCTAGGAGCAGGTTAGGGAAGGACTGAGGTCCCCATCACTTGGTGTCAAGTTTCACTTAATCTTCCTGTGTTCAGTGCAATACCTCACCCCACTCCCTCTACTCAACCTGGTCTCCCCAACCCTGGAACCTCTCATTTCTTCATAAGATAAGCCTCCTGTCTCTCGCAGTGTGGAAGGTGCCAGCCTGCAAATGTGGGATTCATGGGGGTTTAGTGGTCTGGTCTCTCAGTAACACACTTCCAAGTACCTCCTCATTTTAGCTTCCTGTCTCACCTACAGTTTTTGTGTTACCTTGAATCTCCAAGGGCTAAACCTTTCCAGGTTCTGTGAGGTTTAATTGGCTCATTTCCCAGTGGGCATCCCTCTTCAAGTTAGGAAGAATAAATTGCCCAAAGCTACACATGGAACTCAGGCTCCACCTCAGGTTTGTCCATCCTCAAATCTCCATATTTCTTATTTTATAAAACCAGAATAAAGCCTGATAATCTTAATTTCAGAATATGGATGCAGGATCCCTAAATGTTAACAAACTCAATTTACCACAATATGGAAAAATATATACAAGGCAAGCAACTCAGGTCCTTCAAATGCCCAGAAGAAAAGATGAAGAGAGACCTACCAAGACACTATCATGAAATTTCAGAACACTGGGGTGAAGAGATTTAAAAACTTTGAGCTGTTTGTATATTCTGGAAATTAAACCCTCATCAGTTGCATCACTTGCAAATATTTTCACCCAGTCCATAGGTTGTCTTTTCAGTTTGTTTATGGTTTCCTTTGCTATGCAAAGCTTGTAAGTTTAACTGGGTCCCATTTGTTTATTTTTGCTTTTATTTCTATTACCTTGGCAGACTGACCTAGGAGAACGTTGCTGGGATTTATGTCAGAGAATGCCTGTATTCTCTTCTAGGAGATTTATGGTGTCCTATCTTATGTTTAAATCTTTAAGCCATTTTGAATTTATTTTTGTGTATGGTGTAAGGGAGTATTCTAACTTCATTGATTTACAAAACAGAAACAGACTTGTAGACATAGAAAACAAACTTATGGTTCCCAAAGGGGAAAGAGAGGGGAGGGATAAATTAGGAGTTCGGGATTTGTAGATACTACTACACATAAAATAGATAAATAATAATTTTATGCTGTGTAGCACAGGGAACTATATTCAATATCTTATAATAACCTGTAATGAAAAAATATGAAAAAGAATATGTATAGATGTATAACTGAATCACTATGCTGTACACCGGAAACTAACATAACATTGTAAATCAGCTATACTTAAAAAAATTTTTTGAGGGCGGAGGTAATTAAGTTTCTTATGTATTTTTAAGTAATTTTTATTTTCTTTTATTTATTTATTTATTTATTTATTTATTTATTTATTTATTTATTTATTTATTTTTTAGTGGAGGTCCTGGGGATTGAATCCAGGACCTTGTGCATGCTAAGCACACACTACCACTAAGCTATACCCTCCCCACTCAACTATACTTTTTCATTAGAAAAATCTTTGAGAGAGAAAAAGAGAGATGGAGATCGGGAATCAGATTTGGCTCTGCATTGGTTGATGAATAACACTGGAAGTTAAGAAGACAATAGAGCAATCCCTTCAAAATTCTGAAACAGAATGATTTTCAACCCAGAATTCTCCACCCAGCTCAATTATCAACCCAACATGAGGGTAAATAAAGACACTTTCAGGTACACAAGATTGCAAAGCATTTCCCTCCCATGCATCCTTTCTGAAGAAGCTCCTGGAGGCTGTGCTGTAAACCAAGAGGAAGGCATGGGATACAACATACAGGAATCTGACACAGGAGAAAAGTGAAGGGAATCCTCAGGG